GTAAACTGTTACGATACTGTTAAATACTTTAATTAACTGCTAATAGTTTTATTTTTTATAATACGGCATAAAGTTTTATTTATTTAAATATTTATCTTTTAAGGGTTGTGGGGCCTCTATAGTCACGGCGGACACTTTTTAATGATATAACTCTCTCATATTTGTTTTACTTTATTCTTTTTTGAATTTCTTTGTTAACAAAGTTCATTCTCTGCCACTGCACCACTTTCACATTTAAACTGTGACTACTTTCAAACAAAAATTTTGAACAAACTTTCAAAGCTGTTTGTAAACAACACTATAAAATTTTGTCAATGATATACAACAATGGCAAAGATTGCAAAAGTTTACGAGAACTTAAAAATTTAAAATAAAAAATTTTTAATAAAAATTTTGGAAAAGGTTTAATTTAGTTAATTTACTGTTTAGTTTACTGCACAATATTACACAATTTTTGTCAATAAACACGTAATCTTACAATATTTTCACGTTAAAAAGAAATTAAAACAAAAATCATCAAGGTTTTTAGCAGTAGAGTAAAAATGGAGTAGACTCCATTTTTACTCTTTAAACTTTGAAACCCTTAAGGCACACTGTTTACTGTGGTAGTATAGTTCGATTCGTTTTTAAGACATGTGAAATTAGGAACACTTTTTAGCATTGTTCGATGTTGGTTGCAAGTGTTTTGTCCAATACTGTATGTTTTCAGGTGATACGTTTAAACAACGTTGATTGTTATTATTTTTTTTTTAAAGCAATTAAACTGAATTAAAGTGATTGGCTTTTTCATTCTCCGAAAAATGGTAAGACATTTTGTGCTAACTGTAAACTGTTCGCAAAAATGTTATTGTTAGCAACTAGTGATTATTACAATTGGAAGAATGCACCTCAAATCATTAGCAGAAACCCTACAGATTTCCAATTCGCTTTAAATATCGCAATCACTACTAGGGGAAAGCGGAGCAACATGGCGAATGGGGCAAGATGGGTTTTCATATAACAACTCAGCAAAAAATCTTGGAATTGGGTGAAAACAAAACTGTATTTGCATGTTGTATTTTAAAACACCAATTGGTTTTTTTGAAATATTATTAACGCAATTTTATACGTTTACTTTTTGCGCTTAAAAAAAAATTCCTCACTTTCGGTTTCTCATAATGAAGAGTGGTCTTCAAGTTTAACTTCTTTATAAATAGTTTTTTGCGATTGTGTTTATTTTTTGTTACTTTAATTAGAGTTATTGGTAGTTTTAAAATTTTATAAAATTTGAGGTAAAAATTGCATTGTAAGTCATCTTGCCCCGGTCACGTGACCAGTTGACAAGTTTATGAACTTTTTATTTTAATACTTATTCCAAAATGTTATTTTTGCAAACTGAAAATTCATGCTGACAATGAATCATTTTAATAACATAAACATACTGAGAAAGTATTACGGCTTCACAACTGATAGTTTTGCAATAACTCTGGGCTTTTAGAACGGTTGCCATATTGCCACACTTTCCTCTAGTTATCAGCAATCTTTTATTCAAAAATAGCTACGTATTCTTCGCAATTGTTTCAGTGACTTCTACCTCCCACGAAACATTGGCAGCTCTACTGCCTTTTCAACAAATAATTAACTAGTTCTTTTTTTTGCGTTTTTAGCTAATTTTTACTCATTAATTAACAAAACTAAACAACTATTAAGATATATTTTAATACCACTATCACTCTAATTAAGCATAAAAGTATATCTTGATAATTATTTAATTTTGACTATATTATTTGTTCTACTAATTATATAACACGCTATACTGAGCACTCTTACTGGATATATTAACACAGTTCCTACAATATTTATATATACTAGCTGAGATCAGACCCGTAAAATACGGGTCTTTGTAATTCCAAATTGAACTTTTTAATATTTTTTCCTTATATATCCTAGCTTTTCAAACCCGTGAAATACGGGTCTTAACCGAACGTACTATTTCTATACAATCTATTCCAGACCGATTATTTCTATATCTATTCCTTATTTACTTCTATACTTTTAAGTAAAATAATTTTGTTCTGAAAAACTACTTTAAGAGCAAAAAAGTAGATAAACTATAAAACGCTATGGAAATGCCCACAAATTGTGCAAAGCTAAGTTTTTTTTTTTAAAAAGTAGAAGAGATCTTCAGCTCTTTAGTATGACGATTATCAATAAACTTAATGAGCTCTATAGAATTTTTATTTAATATACGACTCGGCGACGAAAAATTTAGATCATTTTTGTTTTCTTCAATAGTGAAATTTAGCTTCTGAGTAATTTATGGACAATCCATTATTTTAAATTTTAAGGCGAAAAGTATATAATGCCAAAAAATAATAGAGTATAATACTATTTTAATTGTTATCTTAAGTGTGTTGTCATTGCGCACTCGGTTTTGTATGTTTGTACCCTTTGTATGTTTGTACCCTTTGTATGTTTGTACCCTTTGTATGTATGTTTTGCAATTGCATTCCAAACCAATCTTTTCTATACTAAATCTATACCTCAATATATTTGAGAAAGAGGTAGGAAAATAACAATAAAAAAACTTTACTCATTGTTTTCATTTTTGAGCCACAAAAAAAAATTCTATGGTAAATATTTTTTAAAAAATATGAGATGATTTGAATGTGTGGAACAACAGACTTACCATGAGCAGTTTAATACTGGTCATGGTAAGTCTATTCCACACTGACCGAAATCAATTCTGTTTATATCAATAATTTTCAAAGATATAAATATAAAAATCTTTGTTTTGATAAAACCATAAATGTTCAATACTTCATAAATTCAACGAGGGTCTATAATAGAAAAAAAATAATAATAAAAACAAAAACAGGGCAGGTTATTTTTTCTTTAATAAGTTTTTAATTTTTTTTCAAATCTGCAGCTTAGTAGGACTCTTGCCAGGGTTAGGATTATGGTTATGGTTATGGTTAGGGTTAGGGTTAGGGTTAGGGTTATATTTATAATTTTTTCTTTAAAATTAACAGGTCATGTAAAATATTTTCCCATAAGAAATAAAATTGTCCCTTTAATGCACAGACTTAACTTATCAGTAAACACATTAACAACTTTAGTTCCGTGACATATGCTCAACATATTTTTAACGGTGTAATCATGTTTTTAGAAATTTTAAAAAGCTTTATAAACAATTCTTTCCCTTTCGTTTATTCTAGTATATAATATCTTGATATATGTTATGCATATAATATCTAGATATATGTTATGTATATAAAATTATGATATATGTTATTCATATATCTATAGGCCTTTAAAAATGTTTTATTTTGTTTTCTACAAAATTAGAAAAGATGTTAAAAAAATTAAGTGTAAACGAAAGGATTAGAACCCATGCGAAGCACTTTAACCACTTTGGTATGTTTTATAAAAAAGGAATAAAAAAATAATCTGTATTGTATTAATGTATTAAATGAAACTCAATTTATTTATACATAATAACAAAATAAAGTATATAAAGAAACGTATGTTTAAAAAAAAAGTTCAACTTAATTTGCATTTTCAATAAAAGATTGGTAGATTAACTAATACTTGGTTTAATTGGTAGAAAGTTATTCTACATAAAAACTAATTATAGACGCATTGTTTTTTGTATCTACTACTCACTCTCTATATATGTATATGTAAGGTGGGGATGCTTTTGCCCTAAATTTAAACTCACACCATGTAAGGAATGTGGGCTCTCTATTCGATCTGCAAAATGCTAAAAAAAGCATTGTAAGATGTCTAAAATGAAATAAAAATAAATTAAATAATGACATGAAAAAAGCTGAGATCGGCCCCGTAAAAATACGGGTGTTTGTATATCTATTCCAAACCTAATTTTTCTATACTTTTTTCTTATATATTCTAGCTTTTCGGATCCGTAAAACACAGGTCTTTACCAATTTACATATCTATTTCTAGCCGAAAATTTCTATACCCATTCTTTATTCACTTGAATATTTTTTAGTAAAATAATTTATTCTGAAAAAAAATTTAAAAGCAAAAAACTAAACATGCGCATCTTTTCCGCATACGTAGAGCTTATAAGATAATTATAATTAGCTTTGTTTTTCTGCTAAATGCATTTCATTGATAGCTCAGTGATTAAGTGCGCTGTCATCAGTGATGTTTTGGTGGCTTTACGACCTCCTCTTAGAGTAATAAGTTTTGAAATTTGATCAATTTTGCTTATATTTTTAAATGAAAAAAATAATAATGTAGCAAAAAAGATTTCTAAAATTTAAAATAAAATTTTAAAGTTTTCTCATTTTATAGATATATAAGATAATATGTAGGATTAAAAAAAAATTTAATAAAATTTTTCCATATAATGCCTGGAAATTCAACATATGCTAAAGATATTTACACTTACAGTAGGGAGTTTAGGCAATTTTTTTAGCAAATATAAATATATACTTTTTTAATTACATTGGATTCATTAATATACTTCATTTTCAAAAAAGTTTCAACCACTTCATTAGCTTATTTAGTTCCAAAGATATACGTATTTTAACATTTTCAGTTCATAGATTTTTTAGGAAATATTTTCTTAAAGTACAGTGGGTTGCCAAATTATTAGGGACACTTTACTTTTTAAGTAATTTTAAAGTTTAAACTACATTAATGAATAAATATCTTGTAGTTATTTTTAAACATTGTTTTTATTGTTAGAGGGTTTTATATAGAATACAAAACAACATAATTTTTTATTCATAGCTATCTATTTTTTTATAAAAAGTTTTAACATAACAAATAAGGTAATAATCCTAATATTTTGTAATGTCACCCTTTGCTACAATGACGGCTTTCAGGCGTCGGGGCATGCTTTCTATGCAGACTTTTGCATTGTGTTGGAGACTGGGGTTGTTATGCCACTCTCTTATAAGGGTTTCTATCAATTGCTGCTTAGTAGTGATGATTTCTTTGCCAATTTCCCGTTTTGTGAACTACCACAGATTTTCTATGGGGTTCATATC